CTATTAGATCAAGTCCTCATTATACATAAATATATTTATAAAGTCTTTGCCTCCTTAATTTATTTTATGTTCCCTTTAGAATTTATATATTTTTTAATGTAATTTAACAGAATTAATGTTAGTTTTAAAAATCTGGTTTGCTTTTTACAAAAGATATCTAAAAAGTTTCATATTTTTAAAATTACACATAAGGCAATCCCATCACTGCAGGACATAAGAGGAAAGAGTAAATAAAAATAACTATATATAATTATTAGAGCATTGGATGAAATAAATGGTTGGAAAATGACAGATAATTAAGGCCTAAAAAATTTTTAAAACAGGTAATTAGCTAGATTATTTAATTAAAAAGTAAATAAACAAAAACGTTTTCATACATGACTTAAAGGAACCAACAATTCTGCTTTACATATAGTTTGTTTGTAACTAAATGGGGTTTACTCCAAGTGTTTTAAGGAAGAGTATACCATGAGATTTAATTTGATTTGATACAGGCTCAAAACTATTAATGTAAACAAATGGTGTGTTTCTTTTTTTTAATGTAGGGAATTAAAAACAGCGGATGGTCAAACTGCATCAGGATTAAAGCTTTTTATTAATATATTGCTTTTTGTTTATGTCAGTTCTGCATTATAGTTATAATTTCAAGTGTAAAAAAAATAATCCATTTATCCCTAAAGGGAATAAAATATTATTCTAGCTCATATTCTTCAAGGATTTTTAAAGATGTTATTAGATGTTCAGGGTTTTCTGTTAGGTTTTATTTCTATAATGAACCTATGCTTGCAGCATTAACCCCCAAAACATCAGTACTATTTCCAAATCAGAACCAGACTTCTGCATTAGCTTGCATTTTCACATCTTCCATAATGGTTGAATACTTTAGTTTTTTCTGATGACAGTAAGGGACTTTAGCATATCTAGATTTGTATGTTAGTTGTTTTGTCAGATCTTAGCTAACCTACCGTATATAAGAAATCCTGAATATGACTAGATGATAAGAAGCTAAACAAGTGAACCAGACCATTTTGAAGACTTTAAAACTGTAAACGCTAATTAGGCTGGTTGAGTCAGAGGACAACTTTTGCAAAAAAAAAAAAACTTTTTTTAAGTCCTTTTTGGTGCAGAAAAACAAGGTTGAAAGCTAAAAGTAAAGCTTGTGCTCTTTTGTGGTTGGGATACTTCTGCTTTGTTTTCACTGCCTTCTAAGCATCAATTCAGCAAAGAAGTTGGTGTACAAATCACTAAACTGAATTTCCTTTGTTAATAAAGATTCATAAAATAATGCTTAAGTTAAAGTGATTTTAAAGGTGTTGTGTTTATGGCAATAAAAGTCTAATAAAGCTCTTAGCTTCAGCCTCTATTAGCAGGAAAGTAGATTTAAGCTTTATAAAACAGAGGTATTAACTGTAGATAGCAATGCTTATAACCATAAACAGAACCTCATTTCCAAAATCCTGAACTGACCCTTCAAGGTTAACAACCCAGAGGCTGTTCTCATTCTTTAGAACAAAGCAATAATGAGAAAGCTCAGAGCGAAACGAAAACTCTGTGCCCTGTCCAGATCTGAGCATCAAGCACTGCTTATCTGATAAACTACAGAAAATGAAGTCCCAGTTATGTCCCCAGGCAGACTTAAAATGTATTTTGACAAGTATAGATCATCATTGATTTAAAGCTTAATTAATAATAACGTTTATTTTGGGTTTTTTCAGGTGCAAACAGAACCTGTCTGTTAAGCAGCCTCAGCTACACACACACCATATGCTTCACCTTACCCAGAATCCTTCTGGCGTCTCAACATGACAGAAGCTGAAACTCTTCAAAGAGATCAGTTGTACACAAAAAGCTTTTATAAACTTCTCCATAAGTCTTTTCTTTTCTGTCTGTAGATGGACTGACTGCAACCAAAACCCAAGAGGAGACAGGCCTTATTCTCCTCTCTCAAGTCATTTCAATCACCAGTCTACTCTACAAAGGAGACAGCCTGATGAGTGCACAGTGCTCATCTGCCTGCGCTGTTGTCTCTGTTTGCGCCTCATGAAAGGAAGCGGGCCTAACGATGCCAGAGGCAGAGGATCCGGCTCTGCAGTCTGAGCTGGGAAACATCAGCCGAAACCGAGCGCCATTCTTTACAAGGAGATGTCCTTCAGTGTGGTGCCAACTCTCCCCAGGGCAGCAGCATGAGACGCAGCCTCTTATTTACCATATACAGGATCTCTCCGTGTCCTTAATGAGCCAGGATATTCTGCAGCAGAGAGACAAAGGCCACAGTTGCAATGGAGAAGCTGTGGCTTTGCTGAATTAAATAATGATAATTAAGAAAATATTAATCAAACTCCAGCTCTCTGGGCTCTGTGGATGTATTGAGGGGGAGCATCTTCAAGCTTAGCCTGTAGGAGTTCTCGTTTGGAGTATGCCTGTGACCCACAGAGCTGCAGGCAAACCCTCACACACAACACAAAGAGATGCGCACAATTAAAAGCAGACCCTAGTGGCCTTCTAGTCTATAATTAAACACCCTTTGGTGCTCTGCTCTATAAAATACCAGCCAAGTTCAAATGTGTCAAAGAGAGAGTGGTGAAAGGAAATTTAAGAAGCTGTTGGTTCGCTACGTTGCAAGTTCTGTTCAGTGCAATGAATTAATAAAAAGCACAAACTAATACCTTCCCAGTGTGCAGTTGGTATGTCTGGCGGGGGCAACAGCAGCTATACAGCTGTACAAGTGAAAGTTTAATGCTGTTTCAAGCCTAAAGCCCTGCCCGGGCTTTGTTCCTTAGAGGTGAGGGTGAAATGGTGCTAAGATTTTTAGACAGAGAAAAACAATCTTCTAACCTTATAAAAACTCACAAAACTGATTTGACAAGGCAGAAAAGTTGGCAAATTCTGAAATGTATACATTTTTTTTTCACATTTTGGCATACAATTGAAGTCTATTATGTTAGTTCATATTTAACTTGACGCCATATACACTTATATATATTTTAAAGGTTTTGCATTTAATTAGTTGCCAGATTAAAATTTCTAAACTTTCTAAAAATAAATAGAAATGTCGGTATAATACACAATTTTGAAATGTCTCAAGGTCAGTGATAACATAGATGGTTAGGAGCCAGTTGTAACGGAAACAAGAGATTGCCCACAGTGAATGTGTAAAAACTGGAGCGGAGGGAACACACCTGCCATCTTGGCTGTGTATGAAATAAAAATAGTTGGTTGCATATTCGCAACAATGGGCGTCAAGGGGTTAAATGGAAATTTAATGTCATAAACCAATAAACATAGTGAGTTAGTTTAAAGTGAATTTATGGTCAAATAAAACTGGAATGTGAAGGAAAACCAACATTTAACCTCTCATCAACAAAACCATTTCCTCTGTGACCCTTGGTTGTGGCAGCATTGTTTTATAGGTGTGGATGGACAAACAAGTAGGTCAGTTAGCTGAGCAGTAGGTGTACTTAAATAACAGACATTCCTGTCACAGGGTTCAGAAAGCTTACAGCGCAGCTCTACTGAAATGATTTAGGTACAACAATAGTCAGGTTTTAAAATGGTCTATTCCAAGTCTGGACCTAAAAATCTGCATTTCAGACACTGTTTTTCTGCGTCCTGATCTATGATATTAAAATGAGAACCTAAAAAGGTTAAAAAGTCTGTATAAATACCTTTGCAAAGTACTAAAAATGAAAATATTTTCCTGCAAAATAATTAAATCGGTTTATTTGGCTTAAGTCACCATGTTTTACCAGTGTTTATCATAAGGTTGTAGCTGTTATGGTAATGTGAGGTAGTCCATCTCCTCCCCAGCATGCTCTGTGTTTGACATTCATGGGGTTAAAGTCCTCTGAATGATGAAGTGCCTGTGTTTGGGACGGTAAATTGCATCGTTTCAATTGAGAAGAGGGTTCCCTCTTGGGTTTGCTGGAGGTCCCCATGGGCTGGCCTTGAGGAGAACAGCATGTTGTACATCCATATAAAAAAAAAGGGGGGAAAAAAATAGGGGTGGGGGTAAAAATATGGAGGTACTTTTCTCTTTATGATGCAAAGATTAATCTGTCAACATGCTCCTGCATAAATCTCCATCCAGGCTTCACAAAATACTGTTTTATCTCACTTCGTGCTATATTTTATTTTTTATTGCCTATAAACACAAACCATCACAAAGGGCTAATGTTCTCCTCAATATTATTACAAAATGATCATAAATCCAACGTCTTGTTAAAACTTGAAGGCATATTTCCCCCTTAAGCTTTTCATTCATTGAAAATATTAGAAACATTCCTTATCAGGCCATTGCTCTCACAATAACTATAATCAGAGCTTCAGCACTTCACTTCCACTAAATTATTGCACTTTCCTTCCTATCCTTTCCTCATCTCTGTGTTCAGCAGTTCCCGTTTTTTCCTTACGGGGTTATATTTTTTTCCTTATACTTCAGTAGAAATGCCTTGACAACAGTGTTTTTTTCTTCTTATCCTGAGAGACCACAATCTAAACAGCAGAAACATGTTGTATAGACGCTTGTTTAGTGCTATGCAAATCATCCTTGCCAGGGGTAAAATTAACATTTTCAATTAAAATATTAGCACCAAACAAACACAGAAAAACACACTAATGATTTAATCATCCTCTTCCAGTCGGAGGCTGATACTCGACCACTGTTTAATCCTCAGAAAGACTCGTTTTCATATATTTTCTTTTACACATGGCAGCTGAAGGTTTAATATAACTGTTTAGTCATCTTGAGCATTCACAACGAAAAGTTAAATGTTTTAATTTGTTTTTGAACAAAATAATTATTAGATGACAAATAAGTAAACAAGGATTGAAAGCAAACATGTATTTTGTGGTCAAATATTTCATGCAAGTATGTAAATATCTGTTATGTTTTGCAGATATAAAACTGTGAGGACCTGATAGGGAAGCATTCTTTTTGCGTAACCTTACCGCCCTCTAGTGGTCTGATATAAAAGCAGCATATTGGGAAGAAAAAAGGAAAATTTAGCAATCCAGAAACAAAACTTTATTCATTTTCTGCTATAAAAATCATAAATAACACCTTTTTAAGTTCTAAGACTATATTTTCATGTCTTCTTCAATGCTGCGCTTTTAGGCCTGTGTAGTAATGCAACGCTGTAGGTCCATATTTCCAGTAAAAGCAGGTTAAAAACACCTGGATGCTGACAGGGCATTTTTACTGATCTGGTCCGCAGAGGTTAAGCAGTATCTTCTGATAGTCTCCTTTGGTATGCTCCTGCAGAGAGGAAAGTAAAAGATAAGTGGACATTAGGATGATAGAAAATGAAAATCAGCTGGAGGCTGCTTACGGTTATCGTCTGCTGCAGGGACTGCCCAAAGGTGGCTTTGTATTCAGAGCAGATCTTTTTCAGATCCACCTCACAGCGAGACACGATAATCCTGGTCACAATCTTCTCTTTGGCTCCTTTACTCTGAGCAGAAGTGAACAAGTCAGCACTAAAGTTCTACATACCTCTGATTTTAACTGCACAGCTGATGTAAGCCTACTGAAACAAGTTTTTCAAACTTTCGTGGTTTTTTTCTTGCTTTTTTTGTCTACTGCAAAATATAAACTTTAGCAAAGTACATTTTTATGCCTTTTAAAGTGGTAGAAATTTAACATGCAGAAACAGAAAGTGCAGGTACCTTCATGGCTTCATTCAGCCTTTTCGCAAAGTAAAGCTGCTTGTTTTCAAAGCACTGAACTGGTAAAGGAAAATAAAACAGAATTAAGCAACAGTTATGCATGTTGTAATGTATTTTAAATATGTGTAGAGTTTTCATAAAACAAACTTAATTTAATAGTACCTAGTACGAGGAAAGACTTCTGTAGATCTCCTTTAACTTCCTTCTCAATACTCTCCTGCATGTCATAGGGGCTGTAACCCTTGTACTTGTCAAACACTACAATAGGAAATAAATATTTTTATTGTAAATTTCCCCAATCTATTTCAGATAATCCAACAATGAGGTAAGGGGTTACCTTTCCGCAGGTGGGGGACACTCCTCTGGGACATAATAGATATCCAAGTGTTCACATCGGTTCCTTTTATCTTCACTCCAGCATCATAAAGAGCCTGATCAGGAAGAACAACTTTGTTTACTGTGTGTGACCTAAAGTGCTTTTTAGGGCTTGCGCCTTTAATTTGAATCATTAATTGTTTCTTTAAAGATTATAGAATGATAAAATAAAGTACTGAGATCTAAAGAAAGCTGAACTATAGCCTTGGATGTTTCTTCTCTTGATTCTTGCAGGTTTTTTTTATTTTTTATTATTATTTCTTCTATATCCTATGTTTCTCCATCCAAGTGTTCGGTGATTTCAGTCATTTTTGAAAAGGTGCTGTCTATTACAGGATATCTTATAATAGCTTTGTGTTAATCTATAACTGAGTTGAACCTTTTTTACAACCTTTAAATAAATATATTTTTTACCAATGTTCTTCATTCAGAACCTACTGGAAGGAAATCTTATTTGAACAGTTTAATGGATGATATCTACCAGCAGGAGGTCAACTCAGTTTGGTTTCCACTAATTTATTAACCCACCAAAAGAGGAAGAGAATCAAAATGAAATGCAGCCAGCTTTAATGAGTAAGGACTGTACGAAAAACAAGGTCACTGTTGGACAGTTATTAGTATCCCACCCCATGCATGAAGTTGGTGCAGCACTATGAGAGGCCATTCAGGATAGACTCCTGTATTGAAGATATGATTGTGCAGATCCCTCCTTCCAGCTGCTGTTAGATGTTAGCCGTTATCATCTTTTCAGTCCCAATACATGTTTATAACATGCTACTGATTTCACAGGTACCGATCTGATCAAGAATGATTTGCTCTTAAATGCTTCTTAATAGATTTTAAAGGCTAATTGCTCACTTTAGTTACTGTTTTTTTTAACAGTCTTTTTCATTGCTGTTTTTAACATCGTTCTGTTTCTTTTCGTTTTTTCTTCTTATTTCTAACTTAGAATTTTCAAGGTTTTACCTTCATATAATTTTCTTATTAATAACTACGCAGCTTTTTTCCTTAAAGAAGTGTGTAATTTTAATTTGTTCAGCTCAACTTTGATAGATTTTTTTTTCCCTTTTTCCTGCCTGATCTCACCTGAAAACATCCGGCTCCTCCATTCCCTGGATCCACCTGCCATCTTTGAACTCTGGGTCATTATACCTTCATCTACTGATTCACTTATCTTATGTCTTCATACGCTTGATTCCTAATGTATTCTCAATAATTATTATTATTATAATATATATATATATATATAGCTATCAACTTAAAATAGAAATTATTTGATTATTTCAGTTACTCTTATACTTACTGACATAAAAATGTATAAAAATAAAAAAACTTTGACAGCAATATTACACACACTTCCTGGATCTATTGCTAATGTTTATTTTATTTGGTTCTAATCCTTGATTAAACATCAGATTTTTATATAAAATGGTAGATAAACCCAATCTAAACAAAATGACAGCTAAAAACCTCCTGCTGGTAGAAAATATATATTGGAGTAGTTTTACTACACATTATTACAATAAAGAACAAATACATTATTGAAAACTGCTTTAACTGACCAGATGAAAAATGGACAAATCACCAATACCAGTAATCATGTCTTTGTATCCTTATAATATTTATAATCTGCCCACTAGATTGTTTGAATTTTATTTATTTTATTTTTTGCAGCTGTTTGGTCAATAAAGTCAGTAATGAAATTAGGAAAAAAAAAAACATTTTCTCCCTTTAACAGTGTTTTAGGCCAGAGCACATTCAGGTAAACACACAGACACTAAAAGTTATAACTGTTTTTATAATATGTCGTAATAAATATGCAATAATTGTTGAGTGTGACTTACTCTGGCATCAGCATCTATTTTTTCATAGTCTACTACGGCACTGGGTTCATCTCTCTTGGTCTGTGCAGAAAATAAGCAGGATCTCTATTAGTTCTAGTTCAACTTTTTCCAACACAACTAAAACATGTACTTTGGACTCACCTCCACTAGAGCTAAAAGCAGCTTCGCAAAGTTTCCAGAGGTATCGCCTGCAACATCTTTTGCCAAGTCTTTTTTGAATACTGTAAAAAAGAAAATGGTAATTTCTGTTATAAGTCTCCATCTGTAACGTAAACATTCAAACCACTGATGCAGATACTTTTTCTGGAAAACTTGGGATGTTTTTAACTCACGCTCTTTGTAGACCTTCTTGATTTCCACTAGCTCATCATTGCTGCGTGAGCATAACATTTCAATCAGAGTTTCTTCATCTGTTCCTAGACCCTAAAAACAGAAACAAAATCTTTTGAGGCAAAACAACACTCAGGTTTTAATTAGTTTCCACTTTGACTGAAATAAATGAAAAGTCGGAGTGATGCTTGAACTGAATCCCTATTTATAAAACTAAATTAAAACCCAGTTATAAAAAAAATGGAGGTGCAGCTGAGGCATCTGGCCACTAGAGGGTGTAATCGTTCAGGGACAAATTCTGGCCTTTCACCTTGATTGATCCTCTGATCTCTGAGGCGTCATACTGGGATGTGCTCTTCATCAGTCCAAGGATGACGGTTTCCAGGGACCCGGATAAAGCTGCTTTCAGAGCTGTGATCATGTCCTAGAAACATAAAGGCACCGCTGCTTTATTCCTAATGTGTCTGTTACAGTTTGAAAAGAAAACACGCGCTTTTTCACAATCTTGGATTCTCTGTCTTGACGTATGGCGTACCTTCTTTGTCTTTCTTTCGTAGGCAAAAGCAATTTCTCTCCTTTGAGAATAGGTTCTCCTTGCAAGGACATCAATGATTGTCTGCTCATCCACCCCTAAAAGGAAGAGAAAGATAAAAAAATAAAATCCTACATCTAGATTCTTATCTAATTTTTATTTTCTTGGGGGGTAAATTAAAACCAAAGATCTGGAAAATGTTGGAATTTCTAGTTTCATTTGGATATGGCAGCTTTTTGTTTATTGGAATTAACAAAACTCTGCAGATAGAATCGACTTAATCAGCATCTTAAGTTAGGCGGGTGTGGCGGCCTAGTGGTTAGAGCATAGAGCTTAGAATCCTGAGGTTCTGAGTTTGAGCCCCTATCCTACAGAATGCCACTCTGGGTCCTTGAGCAAGACCCTTAACCACAAACTGCTCCCCGCAGGCCCCACGATGGCAGCCCACCGCTCCCCAAGGGGATGGGTTAATTGCAGAGAGTTAATTTCATTGTTCTGTACTTGTGACAGTGTAATTACAATAAAAGCTGGAACACAAAGAATCTACAATGCAAAAAACTTTAAATAAGGCATTTTTCTTCTAATAAGTGCATTTTTTTTCTTGAATTATGGAATGGAATAAGACAATTTACAATTAAAATAATAAAAAAAAAATTGAATTGTTTTACTTCAAGTGCATATTATCTAATTGTCTTATTTTAAGAGTAAAAATACTCATTCCATTGGCAAATCATATTATTTACCAACTCAAATTAAGGGTAAATACCCTTCATTTAAGAAATGTCTACTTATTTCTAGATGGTTTTTTGCTGTGTATATTTATATGACTGGATTATTCAGAGAGAGAGAGATTAAGATTTCATGAATACAGTATAAACAACCATGATATCATCTGAGGGCAAGCTTTGTGGCAAAGGGACAACCACTGAACACTAAGTTTCCTTTGATTTAAAAACTCTACATTTTACTCATGATTTAACAGAATACTGGCTAAAGTATGGAGGAAGATGTAGCTGATCAGTTAGATTTTAAATATAAACCTCGGATCCAAAACAAACAAACAAACAAACAAACAAAAAAAAAAGCAAAGTTTCAGAAAACCTCTCAGTTCTATGGATGCCGGTTTATGATGGGTAAACCAGAACTGTTTTTATTATTGGATATTTTTTGTTTTCGTGTTGATGGTTTCTGAGGGAAAGTTTTTTCAAGCCTTTCATCTCATTGTCAAAAGATTAAAGTTCTCTCCTCCCTGGAAGCCACAAAAAAAAAACTCATCTTCTACACAGACAGAAAGAAAACAGCTGAAAACCTGTTAGATGTTTCAACTGTTTAGAAGGGCCTACACCGTTCCAATCTATGCACAGTAGTCTTTCAATTGTTCCTGTTGGATCAAACTGAAGTTTGGACTTTTTACATAATTAGCTTATAATGCCTGGTTTTCAGAAAATAATGTGTTTTAGATTGGATGAAGAGTCCCCACCCCATCCAGAATAGGATGTTTTGCTTCTGGCACAGAATTGAGACATTTCTCCTTTTTTAGCCTGCTTTTATTTTTTTCTTTGAAAGCTTGGAATAACAAAGGATGAAATGATCTGAGGGCCTCATATGGTCCCTATCAAATACAAAGCATTTTCCTGCTGTACTTTCCCCTTGCAGGTATCATTTTGAAATGGAAGACAGTGGATGTTAAAGAGCAGTGTGACTTGTGCCAATATCCCCAAACCAGCAGACAGAGGGAGCCCTGCCAGCTGTGAGGCACAGATGAGGAAAAGTTTCCAGGCTATTTTAACTAAAGCTGACTCACAAATACCAACTAGTCATCTGTACAGGAGAAGGAAAAAAAGAACAGTTACACTTAAAGCTGTAGCTTACCTTTGGTTTTGATTGCAGTCTCTATTCTGGCAGCATCTCTGTCTGGGTCAAAGTCCTTGGCAGGTAGCAGAGTGGGGTACAGGGGTTCACTCTGTAATCAAAGGCAAATCATTCATTTAGAAATAATGCCATCATTTTTACATTCAGTTTTTGATTGTAAGACGGTTTGACATTACCCCAACGTTAAGAGTAAGCTGTCCCAGAAACTCCGAAACCAGAGCCATGTTGATATTCCTGAACAAAAAAAAAAAAAAAAAAAAAAAAAAACTCATTAAATTTGTGTGTAATCCTCCCATTGACTTGTCTAGCTTTACAAAAAAAAAAAAAAAAGGGCATGTTTAGTTTAACTAAAGATAAATGTTTCTGAGCTGGAAAGGAACGTCTTCTTAACAGTTGCACTTATGATCATGGAACTTTTCTTTTTTTTAAATAAAAAATAAAATCCTGTTTTTGACTTTCCCAGCATTTCACAGCATATGTGTTTTTTTTTTTCTACCAACAGTGTGGTTAGCTATTTTAAGCCTCTGCCAACTTTACAATTTCATTACAGCAGCACCAATGTGACCACACCCTGGAAACAATGCCTATGAACCATAGGAGAGCAAACTGAATCTGTTCACAGGAAAAACAGCCGTTAAAAGAAAATCTGAACAGAGCAAGATACCATTAACTTATACTAACAGATTATGAAAAGTTTGCTTGCGCACCGGGTTGAAATTATGTGCACAATCAAGTCCTGTCTAGTCCCTTAGAAAGTTAGGAAATCTCTGAAAATCTTTTAGCTGTTTAAGTTAAATGTTAGCTTAAACATGTGAAGTAATTCAACAGTTATAGTAAAAGTGTTCCTGAAATACCTTTGTTGAAGTTGTTGAGATGATGCAGAGATTTGTCCCAGGAATGTTTGAGTGCAATGGGCTGTGAAGACTGAACTTTAGAGGCAGAGTGCTGCTTTCACCGCCCCTTAAGTCACATGTCCTCCCTTACTTTGGCCTCAGGACTCCACCCTGTTTGTCTGTAAATACTTAGACAGCTTTAGGTCTTCAAGCTTTTTTCCCCCTATTAAAAAGGGAGGGGGAAATCTGCAAATCTGCACATTTAGGAGGTTTTCTCTTCATTTATAAATCCTGAACATTTCCAGAATTCAGATTATTTATACAAAACTCATACAATATCAACATTTAATTTTATTACATAACTTTCTAACAAAATATACAATTTCCAAAAAAATAAAATTTTACAACAGAGTCGCTTTGTGATTGCTATCTGGAAGTATATAACAGCAATCCCGTGCAGCAATAACGTGTGTCCATAGTAAATAGACTGGTTTACATGACAACAGATTTTAAACAGACTTCTGGACTTGCTTCTTGTTATATCGCTTATATTTGGCTGAAGGTTTTTTTTTCTTTCCCTTCTTCTGGGCATTTGGGTTCTTCTTCTGACCCGCTCGATTGTCATTAACTCCATCTGTCTGGAAAAGGTGAAAGAATAGGAGAGTAGTGGTTTTATGCATTATAGTCTGAAACACCATCGTATATCAAGTCCCAAAATATGTAAAAAAAAAACTGGAATCAAATTCAGAATGGCTCAAGTGTCTGCAATAATAACCACTATAGTATCTACCATGTCAATCTTGAAGTTGTGGTTTAACCAGTCTGATAAGATAACAGCTAGGATCCTTTTTACAACAACAGGTTTCTTCTTTCATGTTAGTATTTCTTGGTTAATGCAGTCACTGAGTTAGTGAGCTTTGAGAGTCAAAGAGAGGTGTGGAGTTCTTAGGCATCCATTAAAAAACAAACATCAAAACAATCTATTTCGTCTCATTTTTTGTTACTTGTCCAGCTAAAGCAACTTGCAATAAGCTTTTATAATCCTTGATTTTTTTGACATTTTATAACACTACAGTCACAATCCTTTTGGATCCAAACTTTATGTCAGCTCATTCATTTTTCAACAGCAATAAGGTACATTCCTTTCCCTGCATTAAACTAAATTGCTTTCCTGAAACAAGATAAAGTTCAATCTGAACATCACTAGTATAGAAAAAAAAGAAAAAATTTAGCTTAAGTCCAAATCCTTCCGCCTGCAGCATTTAATCTGTCCCAAAATGCTGCAGATCATATCAGATCCAAAAACACACTGATACTGTAGTGAGGAGTCCCTCTGGTCTGAAAGGTTCAATCCAAATATAACTAATGGGTAAGGAGTCTTTAGTCAAAGCAGAAATGCATCAGTGGTTATCATGATAAGTACTGTTCAAATAGTGCTTGCAAAAGGAAAGAGGTAGGAAAATAAATTTGCATTTTTATGATCCATTTAGCATAGAGAGCTTGCTACATCCATATCAGATGCAAAGTAACTAGAAAGGGTACAACAATTCTTTGCATGAAATCAAAACCTTTTCTTTATCCTGAAATAATATCATAGGCCCAGTTTCTTAAAAAGCAAAATTAATAAACAACAAAACAGAATGTTTTCAAGAAGCGTCACATCAAATAATATTGTCCAAAAAAAAAATAAAAAATAAGCAAATCGTCACTAAGTGATTTGGTGGTCACCTTTTCTCATAATTAATTGTAAACCAAATTAATAGAGAACCATGACTTTAAAACCAAAGTATGAATGGAAATGTTATTTTTGGTTATTATAACATCCCCTATAAAAAAAGGTTTGTTACCACAAATTTTCTCACATAATCACAATTGTATATGCTATACCTAATATATGATATACCTAACTCTGTTTTATCTCCGTCATGCACGTCTCTGTTATGCACCTTGGTTATCATGGTGCAGTTATTTAGCTAGCTTTTATACCACAAAATAGGTATAATTAGCCTTTAGTCAACTAACTCACATCTTTACTTATAGAAATTGATAAAGAAGATCATAGAAAACTGAAGAGACTTTTAGCCACAGTAATGGTTTTTTTTTTTTTTCTTTCCTCTCACATTTATGTGCTACTTTGTGCTTTAAACTTTTGCATAAAATCCAGGTTAAAAAATAAAATAATTAAGATTTTCTCTTTGGGGAATTAAAAACCAATTACCCACCTTTTGAAATGTTTTTGGAGGAAATGTACAGGGAACTCTGCCATGTTGCTGGTGGAATGGAAGCACCACAGCTGGATCAACAGGTATCCAAGGCAGATAACACAAACTTGGTGGCTGGGGAACAGAGCTGTGGACCTGTTGCAGGTTGTAAGCTCCTTGATTCCCTTTTTGGCAGGTTGCTTTTAGCAGAGTCACAAATGGTTCTCTTGCTTTGTGCACAACCAGGTGCTGACCTTCGTCCAACCTGAAGAACAAAGTGACATCAGCAACAGTGGTTTAGTGAGAGAGACATGTTGGAGCGCTGCCCAGATTTTCTGTTTAGCTTTGTTTCTTGGATGAGTGATGACAGAATGTTAAGCAACCGATTGTGAAACTCTGGGGGAAAAGAAGGCATAGACCCATCATAGTCATGAGTTCTCCCTTAGGCTACAAGACTGTGTATGAAGTCCAAAAGGTCTCAACAATTAATTTTTTCTTTGCTTCTAAAGGTAAAATTTATCTATGTTTCTTTTTTACTCTTGAACTTTATACACAATTTGGGCCATTTTCAGTGGCTGAATATAGAAAATGTTAATTCTAAAACCAAATTTCACAGTCTTGATAACCCAAGTGTTCTTTGAGCACACAGCAAGAACATGCTGTCATAGTCAGGAGGTAGGAGGGAAGCAGGGAAAAAGCAACCAAAGTTCAGAAAGGTTGAGAAAACTTGAAAAGCGTAGGTGGAAGTGTTGCTCTTTGGTAGCAAAGTACAAAAACTGAGATGCGGTTTGGAAGTCCAGCTCAGTTTATGCTGAAAGGAACTGCTAATAACCCACAATGTGAACCAATGACCTGAAAATCACTCACCCAGTTAACTTTTTCAAGAGGTGGTGCAGAATATTCAGGGATTTGGATGGTCTGCGGAGAGAAAAGGGGAAATTATCCATCCATCTACTTTGTGTTTGGATCCTAATTTCAACACAGAGATTAAAAACTTGAGGATGACAGCTGCATGTGATTCACCCACAAACCACAGCTCAATACTCTCCGGCTTACGTACTCAGCAGAACAGTGTCACAATCATCATCAATGTGGCAACAGAGATGAACAGAGGCTGGAGACGTGAACATTGCTCATTCTGCTGGCTGTGGTGCACCCAAATCCCTTCTCTGATTCAGTCACAGATCACACATTTTCCCCAGAGATTAGTGAACATACATGTTATGCAACTGTTGGTTCTAGTTGAAGTAATGTTTACACTAATATTATCTTACAGCTTGTAGACCAGCAGCTGTTTCTCTAGTTGTTTCTATTGAAATCTTTCCAGGATGAAATATCATTCCTGTTACTTTGGGTTACAATGTTTTTGGTACAAAATACAGATAAAAAAAAATCAGTTTCCCTGCATCCAAGAGCAACCTGCTGCTCTTAGATAATCCAGCAGGATTATAACTGCTATGAATCATCCTTTAGCATATATAACTCTTTGCCAAATTATTTACAATCAGTTTTAGTTTTTCTAACATTTGGACCACAAACTTCATTCTATCCAATTAGGAAATTATGAATTAAACCGGTGCTTCTTAACTACTGGTTCCTTAGGGCCAATTTTCCTGCATGTTTTCTCTAAATAAATTCTAAAACAATCATTTGTTGCCACTCTGATTTTAACTGTTTTATAAAAGTACTAAACTTAAAGGGCTAAAGCAGTTGAAAGATGCTCTATTAAGCAGATTGCAAAGAGAAGAGTGGGCAATAATTTCAGTCTGAGGGATGTGTACCCCTTTTTCTTTTACACTTTTGGTTGTTGTTTTACTTTGTAAACCATCAACACTTTGTCCTTATCTTTACAACGTTATCTCTGTTAATCACATACAATTTCAGTATGAAATTTTAAGCTTTTTTCACATTTAGATGCATGTAAATAAAGACAGACTCTTAGCTATTTCCACCTAACTTTTATTAATGTTTGCACTGACTATATAATTTAACACTTCCTTATATATACCCAACATTAAAAATGTATTTAGTTAGGTTCTGGAAAGACCAGTGTAAGGCTTTCTGTGGAGCAGATAGAAATTAATCCTCACAGCATTCGTTTCAAACATCTGATAAAAGAAACTGCTTCCTTTAGCAAACGTGATTCTCAATTAGCATAAAAAGGCAACTGCTGTACAGATGCCATAGAAACTACCAGACTTTCGCTGTTAAAAAAAAACTACATTTCAAACCTTCAGGTCATAAGTAATGTAATCATCCTGAGTGGATTAGGGTAATCTAATCATGTCCACACATCTGCTTCAACAATACTCACTTGAACCCGCAGGAGATGTTCTGCATCCAGTCGTCAGGCAGCTTTCTCAGCAGAGCAACTTTTGATGTGTGTGCATTGATGTGAGCTACAGGGCCACAGAGAGAGGGTGATACGATTACTGCGTGAACAGTGAGTGTCACTATCTACAACATCCCATAATTCGCTCACAAAGCATACAATCTAAAAGCTTTTGATCTTCCTTTTGTTTCCCTCAGACTCCAGCTGGTAAGTAGTTGGAATCCGTCACAATGCCCACATTTATTGAGTGTTTATAGAGCCTTAAACCACAGGCACAGATACACAGATGGGAATTGCCCCATGACAGGCCACATGATGAGCTAGCAACCACTAAGCAAAGAAGGGAGCCTTAATCTATCTGTTTATGTGGCACAATATCATTACCAAGGAGATGCTTTCCAGTATTTAATTCAGCTGAAATTTTATCCCTTTTTTTCCAGTTGCTTTATTGACATTATTGCTAAACTAAATCCAAAAAAACCTAACTCTAATGTAACAAGCTATTATAAAGGACTTTACCTATTCTATGAGAGAGTAACGCTTTATGCATTTTTATGCATAGTCTGTGGATGTTTTTTCATGCCAGCCATCTGAATAAGCTGCAAGCTTGTAGTTTAGGACATCTTGGAAAAAAAGAACAAAAAAAAAAAAAACGCCTTTCTCTCTCCTTGTGAGAGGACATTCCCAGACCACGCCCAACTAAGTCAACAGTAGAATGGAAGGAGTGGTTCCTTTGGTTCTAAGATACAGCTAAGCAGGCTGCCCATATGAAT